GAAATGCTCTGCTCCAGGAAGACAGCTCTCTCAGTACATATTTACAGAATGCTTACCACATGTGAACCTCCCATGAGCCCATCCCTGACTCCTGGAGACTTCCTTCCCTGCCCCTTGCTGGTCCTCACCGTCTGCCTCTATCCTGTCTTGCATTGCTCACCAGCTGCTTATAGTGTGCATTCCTCCACTGCTCAGAGGGTTGTAATCTCGTTGATGGCAAGATGGCAGACTTTCCTCTGGGTCCCCTCTCCGGGTGCTTAGCATCTGGTGACGCTCAGCGAGGGCTTGTTGGATGATGAATTGTCAGATGGCTTGTTGGCTGTTAGGGACGTTGGACATCACGGATCACCTGCATCGGGGTGTGCATGGGGGGCAGGTGAGATGGGCACACATTGCACGCAGGAATGGGTGATATGCCAAACTGAAACCCCAGCATCAGGGCACAGCTAGGAAAGGGTTAAGCTTGCTGGAGTTTTGTATATGAAATGGCACCAGAAAAAAAATGTGCAGACTAGCAATTGAGCCCTGTCTCATCCTGGTTCAAATGACATTGTCTGAGCTTCCCCAGCCTCGCCTCCTGCACTAATTACAGACCTTCCTGGGGAGGAAGACTGGGGCCAGGAGGTCTTCATTACAGGCTCCTTTGCTGGAGGGAGCAAACCCCAATGACCGAACCCAATGACCAAACAAACTCTCCTGAAGAAAGTCCCGGGGTTCCTCTGATGTACCTCCCTAATGCAGCCTGGCTGTGAAAGGGTTAAGAAGTAGGCATGCACTAGAGCAACCAGAGGAAGGGTAATGCTGGGGGAGCAGGCCCAGGCTAAACTACCCATCCCGGCTCCACTGGCCTAGGCTTGGGCCCCCCTCTCACCTCTTGCCCCCCAAGATGGCTGCTGCCAGGGCTGTGTCAGGGCCTCCCCTCTGTGGTCGCCTGCCTGCTGCCTCTCCCTGTGGCCTGTGGAGACCTCGTCTTCTTTAATCTTCCATTTATCTCCTGGCCTCGCCCCTCTCAGATTGGCTTTGATGTGGGGCCTGCTCCCAGGGGAGAAGTCAAGGGTTTCCGAGGCCTGGTCTGGACTCTGCCCACTGCCCCCAGGCCAGGCGGGACCCAGAAGTCTCCTGGCCATCAGGGTGAGACCCTGAGGGTGACCCCCCCCAGACAGGAGGGCAAGAGCTTTGGCCCTTGATCTTCAGACCATGGAGAGGCTGCTACCTGAGCCCCAGAGTGGAGGAGAGGCCTCAGAAGTAAGAGCTTTGTTACCATACTGTACAATTTATTTTTACACCTGTCTCCCCCTCGACTCCCCAATGATAACAGCAATAGCAAAAAATAACAGCATTATTGTGTGCCAGGGAAGTGCCAGGCATCTTCCATTTATAACATAATTAATCCTTACAGCTATGTGCAGCAGGTATCATTTTAAAGGGGAGGAAACAGGATTATTGATACATCCCTTTTTTTTGAGGATTTTATTTATGTATTCATGAGAGACACAGAGAGAGGGGCAGAGACAGGGAGAGGGAGAAGCAGGGTCCCTGTGGGGAGGCTGATGCAGGACTCCATCCCAGGACCCCGGGATCATGACCTGAGCCAAAGGCAGATGCTCAGCCACTGAGCCACCCAGATGCCCCTATTGATACATTCCTGTTCATAAAAATTTACTGTGTTCCTACTGTGTGCCAGGTACTGTTCTAGGCACTGGGGGGTATACTAATAAATACAGTGGGCACATTCCTACCCTTTTGTACCAGTAAGTCATAAACAAATGGTCAAATATACATAGTATCATGTCATATAATATGAAGATAGTACCTTGAAGGAAAGTATAGGGCCATCATTTTGAACTCAGTGGTGTCCTCTCATGTGAAGACACAGAGACCTGAGGCCAATGGGACAAGAGGTGGACAGTGAGTGACAGGAAGAGAGCTGGATCAGGGGGCAGGAGCTGGGTCATGTTGAGGAGTTTGGATTTTATTTTGAGCCCCCAGAGAGTTTGAGCACAAGACAGGCTTGATCCGATTTATGTTTTGAGTCAGAGACTCAAACTAGAATTGCCGAGGCTAACAACTAGCTCAGGCTTACATGGCTAGTCAGTGGTGACCCTGAGATTCAAACCTGGAGGAGAGCCAAGGCTGTTGTCTCCCACAAGGGGCAGGGGCAGGGGCTGTGGCTCATTCACCTTGGCATCCCTTGTGACCCACAGGAGACCTGGCACAGGCTAAATGCTAGCAAATGCTTGGGGAATGATAAGTCAGTTCTGGAACTTCCACTGACCAGGTGGTGGTGGTGTGGGGGGCAAGTCATCTGAGTTTCAGTTTGTCCATTGGAAATGGAATGGGAGAAAACAATAGATCTGTTTGGAGGATCGCCCCTGGTGGGGATCCAATGAGACCTGGTGTGCAAAAGGGCGAGGTGTGTTGTCAAGGGTCCGAAAATGCTCTGCGGGTCTAATTTCCTCTATCCTTCTTCCTTGATGGCTCTTGACATGATTGTTTAGGAGTGCAAGCGTGTCCTTGTGACTGCGTGTCCTGCTTCATGGGGCCAGGCACTTCCATGTCACCTGTCTTAGGTACATGTGTGCCTATGTATGTGTCTGTTTACCTGTTTTAACAGCACTTGGAGGGCTGCTGCCTTGGTCTTGCTGTCCAAGGGAACCTGGGCTCTAGAGTTTGGGGAGAGGGGAGTGGAAGACACAGACACAGAGGCTTTCCCTTCTGTCCATCCATATAATGGTTCCTGGAATTCCCATAGCTCCTTCTACATCCTCTGTCCCAGCTCATAGCGAAAAGTGTGGGAATTATCTGAATACCTGTCATTCTATCCCACCCGTCTGCAGACTCCTGAGGGCCAGGGTTACTCCTTGTAGGGGGCAACACGGTACCTGCTGGATGATTGGTGCTCAGTAAGCAATGGATGGATGGATGGATGGATGGATGGATGGATGGTCTGTCCCTGGTCTCTGGAATCAGAAGGGCCTGAATTATAGAGCTTCAGGATTCTACTTAAACCAAGTCACTCCTCCTATCTGGGCCTGTTTCCTTTTCTATAAATGGGATTTTTGTCTTCATTCATTCATTCATTCATCCATTCACAGTCCTCCTTTGTGAATGTTAGGATACTGTGGTGTGTTCTGGGCACCCAGACATTATTTAGAATCGGTGCTGCCCTCAAGAAGCTGAAAAGGTCACAGGCACGGGTCACAAGGATTGCAAAGTAAAGTGAGAAATGTCTTTATGGAGGGTACTGAGGTGGCACCGAGGAGGAAGTGGCCTGCTCCATGTTTGAGGGGAAGACAGGAAGATTTCACGGTACACAGGGTTCTTGATGTGGGTCTTGGAGGGTAAGCAGGCATTTGCTAGTGTGGACTTTCTGGGCAAGGGGAACAGCACGCCAAAGATCCTGGAGGAATGACAGCCTGGCACCCTGGGGAGAGTGCTGACACTGGGGTAATGGCCAAAACTTATCAAGGCAGGCAGGGCGTGGTGAGCTACAGGGCTGGAGAGGGCAGCCAAGGGCTAGATCATTCAAGGCCTAGGCCCCCTCCAAGGAATTCTAAGAGTCATTCTGAAGGTAAATGGAGCCACTGGCAGGTTTTTGGGGAGAAAAATAGCACGGTTGGGTGTATTCTCAATAAACCGTTCTGCTGTGGTATGGACCATAGATTGGGGGTAAGACTGGAACCAGCCGGTGGCGCGTTAGGAGGCTGTTGCTGTTCTGCCCAAGCCGGGCTCAGATAAGGGCCTGAACAAAAGTTAACAATAGCCCAGTTATCCAGCGCTTATTATGTGCCAGCTCGGCTCTGTGTTAAACATTTGCAAATATTATCGCATTTCATCCTCAGAGCCACCCTGGGAGTAGGTGCTATTATGATTACCTCTTCCCCTGCAGGAGTTCTGGTTAAAGGGGCCCCATTGCCCCAGGGAGAAGATTTTTGCTGTCCTTTCCAGGACCCTGCCCCCCTCACCCCCCAGAGGGCACTGCTGGTGTATACACACCGGGTGTGGGCCAGCCAGCACCAGTCATCTCAGGGCCCGACCTGGCCCTCACTTGCCTATCTCCTTGGGCCCTGAAGACTGTCACAGCAGGGCGGGGCAGCGTCCCCTGAAGGAGTCTGGCCCTCTGGCCAGAGCTGACAAAATGCGATCTGCTTCCTATTAAGAGGTTTCCGACTGGCAGTGCAGCTTCGCTTTGTGCTTCCTCTCCTGGGCCAGTTTGAAATGCCGGCCTCCCCACTTACCTCTGTGGACTTTTCCAGGCCTTGGTAGCCGCCTGGGCCAACTGACGTCAGGAGCCGGGTGGCCTGCGAGGGGTGCCCTGCATCACACCCCCCACCCACAGTGGACGCCCCGGCCTTTACCTGCGTGTTGCTTTGTCCTTCCCAGGTCAGGGCGTTGGTTTTCTTTTTAAATAAATAAAGCTGAACCTGACTCACAACTCGAGAGAGGCTGCAGCTTCGCTCACAGCCATCAGCATCACCATGGTAACCGCGCCATCCACGGAACACTCGAAAATGCAGTTATCAACAGCGACACCGCCTCTTCCTCCTGGCGTCCCAGCAGCGCGGGGCCTGCACGGTTCCCTGATCCTTGGGGCTAGGCGAATGGCCCAGGGCTCTGCCTGGCTCCCCAAGAAAGCCGGAGGTTGAAAGTAGGGACTTGAGGTTCCCACTCACGCTGACCTGCTTGCAGCTTGCACATCTTTCTGGAAGGCTCTGAGAAAATCTCTTTCATGCTGAGGCAGGCACTAGGGGTGGACAGTAAGCCCACAGTTCTGAGCCACGAGTCCGTGGCTTTATCCATGATTTCTATCGGGAGGATAATATTGTGTGGCGGGTACAGCTTGCAGAGGTGCTAAGCCTAGAATTAAAATGAATGTAAGGATGATAGTAATCATAATACCAATGTATTGAATGCCTACCGCCCTGAGTCAGGCAGCGTATAAGATGCTTTCTATATCTTGTCTCTAGTTCCTCACTGTAGTTACTTAACATAGAAGCAGTTTTAATTAATTTTTTTAAAGATTTTATTTTTTCATGAGACACACACACACACACACACACAGAGGTGGAGACAGAAGCAGGCTCCATGCAGGGAACCTGACGTGGGACTCGATCCCAGATCTCCAGAATCATGCTCTGGGCTGAAGGCAGCGCTAACCTGCTGGGCCACCCAGGCTGCCCAGTTTTAATTAATTTAATAACAACAGCTACCATTTATAGGGTGCCAGACACTCTGCTAAGCACTGATGTTTATTTTTTCACGTGGGAAGGACTTCAATTCTTCCTATTTTACAAATAGGAAAACTGAGTCTTAGGGAGGTTAAATAATTTGCTTGAGATCACTCAGCTACAGAAGGATGGACCTGCTATTTGGGTTCAGGTGTGTCTGACAGGTGCCCTCTTATAGCTTAACGCTCAGTCAAGGTTCAAGCCACATACTGAGCAGACGGAGGCTCCTGGTCTGCCTGGTTTAAAAGGATTCCTCTAAACACCTTGACTGATGTTCCTCCACTAAAATGGTTCCTGAGCATGCCCATCAGTCACTCCAGGAGACGGAAAGAAATGCAGGTTCTAGACCCACCAACATGGCATCAGGCATTTGGGTGTGGGCCTGAGGATTCTTATTTGAGGTGACACGGCAGGCTGAACTCCTACATTGGTGAGTTTAGACTTGACTGGGTTCCTGGAGAGCAGGGGCGATGTCTACTCTGAGACAACCCCAGGGACTGGTCCAGGGCATGACCCTGAGAAGAGGCACAGAAAGTGCTGGTTGAACTTGAGTGAAGAATGAATTGGGCCCCATCCAGGCTCCTAAGCCTCTACAGGAACAGGTCCTCTCCTGGCTCCGTAGAGTCCATGGTCTCCTCCCACTGACTCTGCACCTGCAGCTCCCACATCCTCACCCCATCTTCCTCCCACCAAAGGCAGAAGTGCCTACCCTTATGACTTCCTCTGCAAGGGGAACGGAGGGGTATTCCTGTTGCCAAAAAGCTTCTTCTTCTTCTTCTTTTTTTTTTTTAGAAACAAACACAGAACCTTAAGCCAGCTTTCAAGGCAGATACTAATCTGACTCCTCAGCAAAATGTCTTTGGAGGGCAGCCCCCAAGTAGAGAGGAAAGGTTGGGATCTCTTCCTCTGACAAGTTTTAGCCATTGAAGAGTCTTATTTAACAGAGCAAAACACCCACATATCAAATAAGGTATTGGATCTATCAGTGATGCTACCTGCTATCATGGAATATTGAGCAGCCATTAAAAGTTGAAGAATATTTAATGATGTGGTCACACATTCACTAAAAAATAAGAGAAAAACAAAAGGGATATAAAACTATGTGCTCTGGAAAGACGTTTGTAAAATGCGGCAGAGAAGCCAGTTATCCCACCAATATCTGTTCTTTCTCTATAGTAATAAAAGCTCTACTTAGATAAATCTTATCTTCTGGGGGCCGTGGGACTTTGTTCTGGCTAGTACGGTACAAGCAGATGTGATGCATGTGAATTCCAGGAAGCGTCCTTTGAGGAGGCAGGACTCTCTTCTTTCCTGCTGCTTCTTCCATTGGTGTCTTGGGTCACTAGTGGAAGGCATGCACTGATGATGGGGAGCCCCAGGTAGAAGGGGCCTGGGTCCCTGATGGTCACAGGGCTGCTGTACCAGCCGGGGCTGCTTACTTTAGGACATCATTTCCTAAAGAGAGAAATTAACATGTTTAAGCCACTGTTCCTTTGGATTTTCTGTCATTTGTAGCTGAAACAATCCTAATCAATGTCAGATGTATTGGTAAATCAACAACACAATGTAAGTTAAAAATAACATGAATCATAGGATTCCGATTTTATTGTAAAATGTGTGTTTATTTACGTTTACCTACGTACATAAAAACGTGGACAGGATGGTTAAACATGAAAATGTCAGCAAGGGTTATTTCAGCAGGGTGAGGCTGCAAGGATTTTATGTGTTCATTTGTTTGCTTGTCTGTATTTTCTAACTTTCCCATGACAAAGTGTACTTTTCAGGTAAGAAAAAAATAATCAATGGTATAAATGGTGGGATCCCAAGGGGATCCATATGGATAAATAAATAAAATCTTTTAAAAAATCCTATGAATCTTATCGACTTCAAAATATTTTTCTTTAGGGGTGCCTGGCTGGCTCAGTCAATAGATCTTGGGGTTGTGAGTTTGAGCCCCATGCTGGGTGTAGAGATTACTTAAAAATAAAATCTTAAAAAAGTTTTTATTTTAATTTTTATTTATTTATTTTTAAAACATTTTATTTATTTACTTGAGAGAGAGAGAGAGAGAGAGAGAAAGAGAGCACAAGCAGGGAGAACAGCAGAGAGAGAGAGAGAGAGGGAGATCATGACCTGAGCCGAAGGCAGATGCTTAACCAACTGAGCCACCCAGGTGCCCCCCAAAATGTTTTTTTTAGAGCAATCTTAACAATACAGAAAAAGCTGTTACAAAGAATAATAAAATACACAGTTACATCCCCACTGCCTGGAATTAAAATGAATATTTCATTATATTTAATTTCTTTTTAAGAAGCCAAGAGGGATGGTAAAGCCCTTCTATGGATGTCTATTAGGATCATTATTAAAACACATTTAAATTGGAAAGCACTTGCCCTGTCTGGGATGGCCCAGGGTGGTGCTGTGGGAGGGCAGGAGAGAAGCAACACTCAAGCACCTTAACTCCCTTCCACCTTTAGCCCAGGGTTTGGCTCCAAGTGCCTATTTCCAGGATGGAGGTGCCCTGGGTGCATGGGTGCCAGATTGGCCTGGCACTTCCCCTGGAACATCTAGCAGCAGGCAGGGCTGGAAGAGGAGGGTCCCAATTGAGCACTTCCCTCCTGAGGTCAGTTGGTGCCCAACTGGTGTTTACGAAGAGGGTGGGGTCCCGGTGGCAGTGCTCTGGGGCCTTTGCTCTCAGGGGAGCGGGCCCATGGCAGGCCACAAGCAAAGGGTGGCAAAACCACTGTCTCCTGCGAAGCTCAGAAACTGGGCCACAGCTGGGAGGATTCTGGGAACTGAAGGCCCGAAGCGAGGTGGTCAAGTGGTCAGTGGAGGTTAGGGAGGTCCAGAAGGAATAAGGAGAAAAGGGAAGTGGCAGGAGCACTCACACTCTACCATGGGTAATTATTACCACCATCTTACAGAAGAAGAAAGAGAGGCTCAGAAGGACTGGGTCACTTGCCCCAGGACTCACAGCTCCTGGACTGATGTCCAGGCTGAAATTCAGATGAGCCCAAGATGCATGCTCCTCACACCACACCAGGCTTTGTCCTATGGGGCGATTATGAGGGAACCATTCTGCATTGCTCGGAGTCTGGAGCAAGTCGTGGGGTCATTTGGAGGTTGATTTTCAGAAGGCGGGCTCTGGCGAGGAAGTGCTCTGAGACAGCCTGTCCTCACTTGGCAGGACTCCACCCTCTGGCTTGGAGGCTCAGAGAGGGTGATAAAGTCTGAACTGATTTTGGAGATTTTGCCAGTGTCCTTTTTTGACTCTGTGGAGACCCACGGCCTCCAGGCTCATGGCCAGCTTTCCAGGAAAATATTAGAGCCTCCGCCCGGCGAACTGAGATGGAGATGACTCTGGAGCCATCCAACCCTTCCCACTTCACCTGTCCTTCCTCATTCTCTCCTGGGCCAAGATGGGGGTTAGCTTGTGTGCCCACACGTGCCTGTGTACATGTAGGTGCACGTACACACACACACACACACACACACGTGTGCCCGCACTCATACAAGCATCAGCAGAAGCAACCTCCTAGTGGACCATCCTTTTCAGGCTTGCCCCTGTCTCCAACACCTGGCACACATCCCCAAGGTGGAACAGGCCCAGAGGCCCATGCTGGGTCATGGCAGGTCTGCACACGGTCCATTTCCATGGGGCTCCTCTTTCCTTGATTCAAATGCCAGGACCAGTGCCCTCTCGATGCCAGAGCCATGGGCAGTGAGACACATTCAATCATCCTGGGGACCCTGGAGGCTTCTATCAGATAAAGTTGATTGAAATTCTAGCTCTGCCACATTCTGGCTCTGTGACCTTTGGCAGCTTTCTTAACCTTTCTGAGGCTCAATACCTTCATCAAACAGGGATGTTTTTGTTGGTGGTGATAACAGACACATACCTCCTGTCTAGCGGCTGGAGGGGTAAGCTGGAGAGTCCACAGTTAGTGTCGGGATGTTTTGGATAGAGCCTGGCATATGGCAAACACCCAGGGGCAACATCTGATACTTGCGTGGCCCTTTGCCTCCCCTCCCCGCCCCAGACCCATTTAGGCATCTAGTCTTCCCTCTGGAGCGGCAGGGGAGGCCCCAAACCTCCTCCATCCCCTTGTTAGGCATTGCGGTTGTGGTTGAGTCTGAGGTGCCAGGGAAATGGGTGCCAGTCCTTCGGGCAGGGAGAGCAGCAGGTTTCCCTGGATGCCCTACCCCAAATCCTGCTGCTTCCCCATTTGACGACTGTGTGACTCCCCCCCTCCAACCCCATGTGACCTTATCTTTTCTGCCCCTGCTCTCCAAAGATATTCACAGACAGGTCACTGATTCTTCTAGTGCAGCCCAGGCTGTTCTTCATGACAATGAACTCGGCTCCCGGTTACTGACCTCTGGCCCTGTGCCAGGCACTGCGCTGTGTTGTGCAAGGTCCCCACAATGCAGATGAGGACACCGAACTCCAAAGGGGTCAAGTGACCTGGTCATCAGGGAGGAAGCGGCCCACCTGAGACTGTATGAAGGCTGGGAAGACGTGAGTGGCAGAGTGGATCCTGCTGGGCAGGAAGACATTCTACAAACTCAGACCCATTGGGTGCCAGGGCTCCCAGTTTGGGATCCATGGGGTCCTATTGGGGGCTGCTCAGTTCTGCTCATGGTCAGCTAACCTGGCACCCAAGGGATGCCCTGGTGCCCTGGCTACAGGATAGGCTTTGATTCCCCCACAGCTCACGACTGGCTGGGTTCAGTGGAGCCGGCCACCTTCCTTATATGTGACCGGGACTGCCTGGTGGTCTCTGCCTGCCTTGCCCTTCACTCCAGTGACTGACTGCCTACCCTTCTCGCTGGTCCCGACTTCTTCCTCAACAGCACTGACCTCACAGGGCTGAGGTCTCACCGTGCCCTTCCCCCTTGCCTGCCCAACTTAGAAGACCAGAGAAGACGCTGCCAAAAGCCTCCCACCAAACACTCTGGTTAAGAACCTGAGGTCAGATCTAGCTCTGTGGCTTATGAATGCCAAGCAAGTTATTTCACCTCCCTAAGCCTCAATCTGCTTATCTATGAAATGGGACCAGCAACGATGCTTACCTGCAGAGCTGCTGTGAAGGTAAAATAAGCCAATGCAGGTAGAGCGCTAGGCACAGGGCTTAGCTCTTAGTGAGCATCCTATAAACGGCAACCTCAAAAAGCATGGGGAGGAAAGCTTGGAGTCACTGCAGACTCCGGAGGAAGCACCTCTGGACCCTCAAGGTCCTGGCTGCCAGGGTCCATTACTGGTCATTTTCCTTGAGATGGAATTCTCCTACATTCCAGGGGGCTGAGTCACGGAGCAGCTCTTTCCCTGGTCTCATGGAGGTCTCATGGCTGGAAAGAGGAAATGTTTTGCCCAGAACTGGCCTGTACTCCCATTTGGAGCAGCACTAACAATGGCAGTCTGGAGGGTTGGGCAATGGGCACAGGAACCTGAGTGTCCTTGCTGCGGGACCTCCTGAACGCCTGAGCATTGCAAGGCCCCCTTTCCTGCTGCCTGCCAGTTTTTCTGGCCTCATCTGGAATGGCAATGTTGTGATGCCCCAGGCCCTCCCTAGGCCTTTATCTTTTGTGCTTGGGGCAGGAGGTCTGGCAGCCAGTCAAAAACTTCCTGGGCTTAGCATAGTATGATAGTACCGTGGGCCTTCAGAGCTTGCAAAGATGTTGAACAGAATTCTAGACTGTTAGTGCTGGAAGGGGCCTCCTGTGGAATCATCTGGAATTGGGGCGGGGGCCTGAGGGACCTCTCAGTCGGCTGTCTGTGGTTAGTGCTAGACGGGTCTTTGGTCTGAGCACAGGATGACTCCTTCAGAACGAGCCTCAGGCAGAGCCATGGGACATTAGAGCTGGAAAATGTGCTGCCTCTCATTTTATAGCTGAACCCTCAGCTCCCTGTATAAGTAGTTGGAGGTTCTGAGAAGAATTTGCTAGAGATGAAGTCCATGTGACTACTTTAGGTGTTTAGGCTGGGGCAGAGAGAAAGATAAATGCTTAGAGCTTATCTGTGAGGTCGTCATTATAGGTAAGAGGGCAAAAGAACAACTGGGTCTTCATGCAACAAGTATTTATTGACTCCTGTGTGAGACCCAGCAGGAGCAGGAAGAGGAGTGAGAGGAGGGTGGCCGTAAGGTGAGATGTGATAGAAAAGTGTCCTGTGGTCTAAGGCAGCTTGGGTTCGTTTTCTGTCACATCTTACTTTATGGTGGGCTCGGAGGTGTCGGTCCAGAAACTCTGACTCCATTCTCCTGCCACCATCTCAGCAATCCCCTCAGGTTAAGCCCCATACTTAGGGTGTGAGTGAGAGGATTGGCACGGTCCCGGGCCCAGCAATGCCAGAGGAAGAGAGAGAGGGTCGCTCCATGATGCTCTTTCATAACAAGAGACTTCTTTTCCAGAACCCCCAGTCAAACTTTGCCTCGTGTCTCACTGGCCCTAACTAG